TTATTTTCACAGAAAGTTAACTTCCGAGAGCCGGAACATTTTCATGAGTAATCTAATAAGCCAGTTCCAAACTGCATTTACCTGAAATTGAAAGTACAATCCAATTTATTTAAACACAATTTCTTATGATGTACTTGAAGAGAAGGCCAGTAAAATAGGGCTGGAAGAATTTCCCTTGGATCCATTATGCTTCCCTTTGCCTACCCAGAAGTCAGGAACTTTTGCGTAGTAAGGACAGAATGTTCAGCATTCTAATAATTAACTGAACATAACCTGCAAATGAAAAAGCGGGGGAAATTTTCTTAAAACTCTCTCGGAAAACAAAAATAGTGCACTTAGGTCCTTCAAAACAGATTCACAGCTGAACTGCAGTTAGCTGCATATACTTGGCTGAAAAAGAAAAAAAATAAAGACCATGTACTAAAGCATTTTCTATTAATTACAGTGTTTAGAAGATACATATCCCCTATTTTGATATTTAAACCTATTTTTCATTTTTATTAATGTATTTGGGTTTTTTTTTTGGTTTCCTAACATGGATGATGTGGCAACATGTAGCTTAACTCTTAAATTGCCAAGTTATTTTTGTTTCTCTTGATTCTTCTCTTCAAAATCTTATGTCTTTTCCATCATTTGGAAAGTTCTATCAAACTATAACTTTATAGTTGAGCCTGGTGCAGTGGCTTACACCTATAATCCCAACACATTGGGAGGCCAAGGTGGGAGGATTGCTTGAGTCCTGGAGTTTGAGACCAGTCTGAGTAACACAGTGAGACCCTGTCTCTAAAAAATATACAAAAATTAGCCAGGCATGGTGGTACATGCCTGTAGTCCCAGCTATTCCGGGGGCTGAGGTGGGAGGATCACTTGAGCCCAAAAAAGTCTAGGTTGCAGTGAGCTGTGACGGCACCACTGTACTCCACCCTGGGAGAGAGAGATCCTGTCTCAAAACAACAACAACAAGAAGAAGAAAAAACATTTAGATATTCTTTAAATATTTTCTTAAAAACTAAATTTTGAGAAGACATGGATGTATCCAAATTATAAGCATAATAAAGTCTTAGTGTTTCCATAAGGAAAAAAAGCCAAGGTGATAGTGCAGAGACAGTGAAGGCTGGGACCCCTGCACTTAGGGCTCCCTGGATTAAAGCCTGTGACAGAGCAATTCTCATCTTCAAAGTTCCCTCATGACTAGTGTGGATTTTAGTAATTGTTTAAGGGCCCCGTAAGGAGTGTCAGAAAGATAAAACCCTAATTCCAAGACTGAAATTAAATGGGTATCATTTCATGAGGAATTTGAAAAAGCTCTTTGTAAGTATGAGAATGTAATACGGAGGTACTGAATTTCTTCCCTGTGACTGTTTCATTATATTAAACAATCCATAAAAACGGTAAGTAATGGCAGAGATGAGACTACTGATTTTTCTTGCTTGATTTGTCCTGAGTTCGCGTTGACTGAGCCTAAGAAACTCCCGTTCCCTGAACTGGGCACCGCCAGTAAAATGGAAAGTTTTACTGCAGCCGTTGAAGAGGAGTTTAACACGTGGCACAGACGTCCAGTCTCCGGGACTGCTGAACTGTAATAAACTACACCATTAAGTGAAACATTGGGTGAGAAGCTGGCTCATTGGGTCAGCGGTTACAGTTATAAGTAGCTCCTTGGGATGCTAATAGATTAAGATGAGTGGTTTAAATTTCCAAGACAGACCTCTCGCTTTAGTAAACAGCAGAGTAAAAGACTTACATAATACCTCAGGCAGTGCACATTCTGGTATTGGCCCAGCCTCTAATTGTGTGACCTTGGACAGCTACCTTTGCTTCCCTAGACACCCCAGTTTTTTCATCTGAAAATGAGAATGTATCATGGGATCATCTCAAGTGTATCTAGAGCTCTACTGTTCTGGGATTCAACCACTGGTAAATCTACAAATATATTTCATGACCAGGATTAAATGAACTCTAATGGGCAAAATGCATGATTTAGTCATCCAAATGCTAATATTGTAATGTGGAGAAAGAACAGATTTTAAGTTCACCAAAAATGAAATCAAAACAGACTAGACATATTAAAAGGAGCTCTACTTCATTTGTAACTTCAAAATGCAAATAAAAACAATGAAATACCATTTTCACCTATCAAATTAGCAACAATGTAAAGTTTAAAGATATCCAGTGGTGATTGAGTGTGGGGAAATTGGTACTTTTAATGCTATTTGTATGAACGGAAATTGGTGGTCTTCTCAAAGGTCAACTTGTTAATATGTGTCCCAAGTTAAAACACAGTCACACATAACAACTAAGATATGTCTGAGAGATACATCCTTGTGTGATTTCCTCATTGTGTGAACGTCATAGTGTACTTAAGCCTAAATGATACAGCTTACTGTATATTATATACATATAGGCTGTATTGTATAACCTATTCCTCTTAGGCTACAGACCTGTGCAGCATGTTACTGCACTAATATTGCAGGCAATTATTTGTGTATCTAAAAATAGAAAACATACAATAAAAAATACAGTGTAAAAGATTAAAAATGGAGACCGGGCGCGGTGGCTCACGCCTGTAATCCCAGCACTTTGGGAGGCCAAGGTGGGTGGATCACCTGAGGTCAGGAGTTCAAGACTAGTCTGGCCAACATGGTGAAAACCTGTCTCTACCAAAAATACAAAAAAAAAAATTAGCTGAGCATGGTGGCAGGTGCCTGTAATCCCAGCTACTCGGGAGGCTGAGGCAGAAGAATCGCTTGAATCCACGAGGCGGAGGTTGCAGTGAGCCAAGATCGTGCCACTGCACTCCAGCCTGGGTGACAGAGTGAGACTCCATCTAAAAAAAAAAAAAAAAAAAAAAAAAATTAAAAATGGTATATCTGTATAGTATAGGGCACTTACCAGGAGTGGAGCTTTCAGGACTAGAAGTTGCTCTGGGTGAGTCAATGAGTGAGTAGTGAGTGAATGTGAAGGTCTAGGACATTACTGTACACTGCTGTACGTTTTATAAACACTGTATACTTAGGTTACACTAAATTTTTTAAATGTTCTTTCTTCAACAATAAATTAACCTTAGCTTACTATCTATATTTATAAATTTTACTTTTTTCAAACATTTGACTTTGTAATGACACTTAGCTTAAAACACACATTATACAGCTATACGAAAATATTTTCTTTCACTGTATCTTTATCCTATATACTTTTTTCTGTTTTTAGAAATTTTAATTACTTTTTACTTTTTAAACTTTTTGTTGTTTTGTTTTTTTGTTTTGTTTTAGCTACAGGGTCTGCTCTGTCAACCAGGCTGGAATGCAAATGGCACAATCAAGGCTCACTGTAACCTCAACCTCCAAGGCTCAAGCAATCCGCTCACCTCAGCCTCCCAAGTAGCTGGGACTACAGTCATGAGCCACCATGCCTGCTTGATTTTTTAAAACAAAATTTGTAAAGACAGAGTCTCACTTTGTTGCCCAGGCTGGTCTTGAGCTGCTGTCCTCAAGTGACCCTCCTGCCTCGGCCTCCAGAAGTGCTGGGATTACAGGTGTGAGCCATCATGCCTGGCCAAATTTTTTGTTTAAAAATGAATACACCAACACACACATTAGCCTATGCCTACACGGGGTGAGGATCATCAATATCACCATCTTCCACCTTTAAATATTATCCTACTAGATGAATTTCAGCGGGCAGGAACACACATGGAGCTGTTGTCTCCTACGATAACAATGTCTTCTTCTGGATGCCTCCTGAAGGACCAATCTGAGGTTGTTCTTAAGGAGGAATCACTCTTTTCAGAAAGATGCTCATGGTGGTTTGTTTATTTTTTCATATTAGATTTGTGTGAGTCTATCATGGGCTATGGCATTACGAAGGCTGTGACTTCACCTAGCGATAGGAATATTTTTAGCTCCATTATAATCTTGTGGGATCACCACTGTATATGAGGATTGTCATTGACCAAAAAACATTGTTATGCAGCGCATGACGGCAACATATCCTTGAACACACAATTTCACTTCTGGGAATTTAGCTTAGGGATATACTTGCAAAAACACACTAAGCTGTGTGCACCTTCCTGTACATTTTCAAAGAGAAATTGTCTACAACTTTATATCATTTTGGTCATGTTAAAGACTTGGGACTGGTGGTTATATTCCTGTATACATAGCTTAGTGTGTTTTTGCAAGTATATCCATAAACTAAATTGACAGGACAGAATTGTTTGAAAAACAACCATGAATATAACATAAATGTTCATTAACAGAAAAATAGTTAAATAAATTATAGTACATCCATTTTATGAATTTTTTTTTTTTTAACAGTGTCTAGCTCTGTTACACCCAGGCTAGAGTGCAGTAGCGCGATCTCGGCTCATTGCAACCTCTGCCTCCCAAATTCAAGGGATTTTTGTGTCTCAGCCTCCTGAGTAGCTGGGATTACAGCATGCACCACCACGTAGTACAGGGGCACGATCTCAGCTCACTGCAAGCTCCGCCTCCCGGGTTCACGCCATTCTCCCGCCTCAGCCACCCGAGTAGCTGGGACTATAGGCGCCCGCCACCATCCCCGGCTAATTTTTCGTATTTTTAGTAGAGACAGGGTTTCACCATGTTAGCCAGGATGGTCTAGATCTTCTGACCTCGTGATCTGCCCGCCTCGGCCTCCCAAAGTGCTGGGATTCGAGGCGTGAGCCACCGCGCCCGGCCTAATTTTTGTATTTTTAATAGAGACAGGGTTTCTCCATGTTGGCCAAGCTGGTCTCAAATTCCTGGCCTCAAGTGATCCTCCCGCATCGGCCTCCCAGAGTGCTGGGATTACAGGCGTGAGCCACTGTGCCTGGCCCATTTTATGGGATATTATGCAGCTGCTTGTTTTTTGTTTGCTTGTTTTTAAACTTTGTGTGCTGATAGGGAAAGATGCCAAGAATATTATTAAGTGAAAACTTATGTTGGAGAGCAATATGCATAATATGATACAACTTGTTAAAAAAAAAAAAAAAGAAAGAAAGAAAGAAAAGAAAAAAAGAAAAGGAAACGAAGAAAGAACGGAAGAAAAAGGCCAGTCTGCGCAGCTGACTGCCTCTCCCGCCGCAGCCGCGGGGCCTCATGGAAGGCGGGGAGGACCACAGAGCGGGCGCCACAGTGCAGGGCCCCGAGGGGCGGCCGGCGCCGGAAGCCAGGGTGCACTTCCGCGTGGCGAGGTTCATCATGGAGGCAGGTATCAAGCTAGGGATGCGGTCCATTCCCATTGCCACTGCTTGCACCATTTACCGTTAAGTTTTTCTGCGAGACCAATCTGGACGCCTATGACCCTTACCTGATTGCCATGTCTTCCATTTACTTGGCCGGCAAAGTGGAAGAGCAGCGCCTGCGGACTCGTGACATCATCAATGTGTCCAACAGGTACTTCAACCCAAGCGGTGAGCCCCTGGAATTGGACTCCCGCTTCTGGGAGCTCCGGGACAGCATTGTGCAGTGTGAGCTTCTCATACTGAGAAGTATGCGCTTCCAGGTCTTCCAGCATCCACACAAGTACCTGCTCCACTACCTGGTTTCCCTCAGGAATTGGCTGAACCACCACAGCTGGCAGCGGACCCCCGTTGCCGTCACTGTCTGGGCCCTGCTGCAGGACAGCTACCACCGGGGGCTGTGCCTCCGCTTCCAGGCCCAGCACATTGCCGTGGCGGTGCTCTACCTGGCCCTGCAGGCCTGTGGAGTCGAGGTGCCTGCCGAGGTCGAGGCTGAGAAGCCGTGGTGGCAGGTGTTTAGTGACGACCTTACCAGGCCAATCATTGATAATATTGTGTCTGATCTCATTCAGATTTATACTGTAGACACAGAGATTCCCCTAAGGCCCTGGCCAGGCCTGCCCAAAGAGAAGCCCAGGATGGTCAGCTGCCTGGGGACACTGCCACCACATCGCCATGATGGCTGGTCCCCAGAGGACCAGCTGGGAGGACTGATTGTGCTGCTGGAGAAGGGCTGGTGAAGGCGTTGACATGCGGCCGCTTTGACCATCCTAGCAGTCGCGGTCTAGATGATAATGGGAGCTGCGCCTCCAGCGGGCAGGCCGGGAGCACACTGGTTGCAGCTGACCCAAGGCAGCCACATCTGCCTTTGTTCTTTGAGAGGACTCTGAATACAATAGAGGCATGATGCCAATAAAAGGAAAATCATGACATCGACGACACTGAATCCCTAGGAATTTTTTAAAGCCAGATTTATAGCGAGAATGAATATGCAACGTGACTGAAATCTATTTTGTGTAATACAAGGTGAGGCAAGTCAAAAAAAAAAAAAAGAAAGAAAGAAAAAAAGAAAAAGACCAGGTGCGGTGGCTCATGCCTGCAAACCCAGCACTTTGGGAGCTAGAAGCTGGAGGATTACCTGAGGTCAGGAGTTTGAGACCAGCCTAGCCAACATGGTGAAAACCTGTCTCTACTAAAAATACAAAAATTAGCAGAGTCTGGTGGCGCATGTCTGTAATCCCAGTTACTAAGGGGGCTGAAGCAGGAGGATTCATGGATGGATGGATGGATGGATGGATGGATGGATGGATGGATGATTGTTTTCAAAGAGAAATTTTCTAGAACTATATACCATTTTGGTCATGTTAAAGACTTGGGACTGGTAGTTAGAGGATGGAGGAGACATCTTTTCTTTCTGATTTTATATTATTTTACTTTCTATTTGAATTTTTTTACCATGATCATTTACATTTGTAATTTTTAAAAGACCTACTGAAAACATGAAACAGCCTTGAGAAATGGTAGCGGGGAAGTGTTGCAGAATGACCACGTGCACCCTGATGCCTTGGTGGGGGATGTTGGCCGTAAGGCCAGTCTGGACCCTGGCTGCCAGTGTGGCATACAGGAGATGATGGGACTCTGTGAACACAAACACTACTGTGGTTTGAGCATGTCCCTCAGAGTTCATGTGCTGGAAATGTGGTCCCCAGTGTGGCAGTTGGAAAGGTAGGGACTTTAAGAGGTGATTAGGTCATTAAGAGGAATTAATGCTACTCTTCATGGAATGCGTTACTTCTCATGAGAGTAAGTGAGCTCTCACTCTCTTTCAGGACTGGATTAGTTATCTCAAGAGCACGTTGTTATACAGTGAGGTGGTCCCTATGTTTTGCCTCTGACTTCTTCCTTTCTGCCATGTGGTATGCTAATGCTGTGCTCTTGGACTTTACAGCCTCCAGAACTATGAGCCCAGTAAACTTTCCTTTATAAATTACCTAGTCTCAGGCATTCTGTTACAGCAACAGAAAACACACTAAGACCTCCCTTCTGGTGCACATCTTTTATGTTTTCCCTTCCCAGTATTCCTTTCCCCTTCTTTTGGTAACAAGACCCATTTTCCTTTCTGCAACTGCTTTTCTTCCACGCCTCAGTCCATGTTTCAGGTTGGGAATTGGACCTTAACCTCCAGTTCCAAAAGTGGGCCTTGACCTTGGGCTGGCCAGGGCACCAAAGTACTATCGCAATGGCTTCAAGGAGGGGCATTGGCTCAAGCATGACCAGTAGGAGCATCCTCCAGTACTTCGGCTAGTGCTCTTGGACCAAGGCTCTCCCCTTCCCTCTAGGTGCAGGAGTACTAGAACAAATGTCTGGAAATGCTTTGACCACTGTTGCCACCACTGGGTGGAGATTTTCCTGAAAATAAAGCTGAACAGAGGAAAGCAGAGCTTATGTGATGAGAGACAGATTCCTGTGGACACAGAGCACCTGGATCCAGCCATGAAGAAACCTTCTTAATTACTTTTCTGTTATCTTAAACTTTACATGAGTTAAATTCTCATTTTTCCTTGAGCTGGTTTGAATTATTCTGTTAATTTCATCCAAGAGTCTCTATAAATGTAAACACCTTAGTAATTTCTTCTACAGCTAGCAGCGCCCATAGTGCCTTTTTAAGCCTTTGCCCAACAGTGTGGACTCCCAAGCAGCAGCACTTACCATAAATATTTTTCATCATTTTGCTTGTGGTTTCCTTATGCTCCCACCCAGTCCTAGTACAGGGTCGAGCAGAGAGCAGAAACTCCTTGAAATGTTTGTTGCATGGGGCAATCATTCTAATTTTCAATATTCTAACATTGTCTCTGCGTAAGACACAAATATGTCTTAAATATATGCTAGACATGAATACTTTTTGTGCCCATTTTTTCTTACATTTTGGAATATTAAAACTTGGAATAGATGATGCAGAGCATAGATTCCTAAGCCTCAACTCTTCTTGCAAAACTTGAAGGACCAAGCTCAGTCCTCTGCCGCAGAACACACAAAACCTTACTCAAACCTACTACTCAAATGCTTGATGTCTGTATATTTATAAATTACTATACTAAGGTGAGAATTATAAGGACAGAAGAAACCTTTAAGTGAGCAGCCCCATTTATTTTTTCTTTTATTTCTCTCCTTGATTTCTTTCTAGTTTGTTACCAAATTCTTAAACAACATTAGCAATTTAAAATGTGTTAGAAATGGAAAAAATTGAAAATGGCCTGTTCTCTGAAAGTTCCTGGTTCGTAGTTGTAATAGCTGTTCAACATCTTCATCTAGCCATAAGATAACTCTAGTGCCAGGTGTACAAATCCTGATCCTGTTTCAGTGATCAACACTCACTAAATAGTCTCTTACTACCCGAGAAACGGCTGTATGTCACAGGGAAATTCAGTAACCAAGGCGCACATCAGTCCATTGCATCTGAAACAGCATATTCACTACTTATCACTCAAACGTGAATTTTTTCTCTTTTTGGAGACGGAGTCTCACTCTGTCACTCAGGCTGGAGTGCAGTGGTGCAGTCTCAGCTCACTGCAGCCTCCTCCTCCCAGGTTCAAGTGATCCTCCCACCTCAGCCTCTTGAGTAGCTGGGATTACAGGCAGCCACCACCACACCTGGCTAATTTTTGTATTTTTAGTAGAAATAGGGTTTCACCATATTGGTCAGGCTAGTCTTGAACTCCTGGCCTCAAGTAATCCACTCACCTTGGCCTCCCAGAGGTGCTGGAATTACAGGCGTGAGCCACTACACCCAGCCTCAAATGTGAATTTCTAACCCATTTGCAAACATAACCATCCCAGAAACATGACTGGCAGGAGGAACCCTTATCCCTCATTGGAAGATGTTACCGTTTTTCTCCTCACAGATGTCACCACCACACGCCCTACTTAGTGGCCAGGAGCTCAGTGACACACTGCTCATCACGTTAATTCATCAAGCCCAGGGTCAGTGCTGGCTCTGGGCACCCTGCACCCGCTCACTCTCTCACTGTGGAAGTTCACTGCTAGCCGCCTCCTCAAACTGTCCATAAATCTTGGGAGATTTGGGGGCTCTACCTGGGGCCCACCCTAAGTTGACATCACACTTCCTTGCCACACCTACCACAGACTCAGATTTACCCAACAAGACCTGAAACAGAAAGTAACAGTTACAACAACACCTTACAAGTGGGTGTAGTGTGTGCAGTGCACGGTGAAGAGGCATCTGTTAGTTCTGGACACGCCTCTCATCCCTTCGCTGCAGAACAAATTGGCAGTGACCCACAGCAGATACAGTATGTAACAGCAACCTTGACTGTGTCTGGCTGTCAAGACTTGCAGGACTCCTGGGGACCAAAAAGGCTGTAGGCTTTACCTTTCAGTGTTCGATCTTTTGGTATCAATAAAATCAAAGGCAGACACAAAAGGGAATTGGAAAACCCAAGAGGAAAATACCACTGGTACATTTCACTCAGCTGTTCCTATGGCTCCACGCCTTAGTCCATTCAGGCTGCTGTAACAAAGTACCACAGACTGAGTGACTTATGAATAACAATTTATTTCTCACAGTGCTGGAGGCTGAAAATCTGAGATCAGGGTGCCCTCATGGTAGGGTTCTGGGAGGGCCATCTTCCAGGTTGCAGAGAGCCATCTTCTCATTGTATCCTCATATGGTGGTAAGAGGCTAGAGAGTTCTCTGGGATTTCTTTTATAAGGGTACTAATCCCAGTCATGAAAGCTGCACCCTCATGACTTAAACTACCTCCCAAAGGCGCCACATCTTAATACTATCACATTGGGGGTAATATTTCAAAAAAGAAATTGGAGGGGGGACGCAAACATTCAGTCCATAACTCTCCATGATACTTACACAAGGCTAAGCCTGGTCTTGGTGGCAGCCCAGTGGATTCCAGTTGTGTATTCCCAGTGATGGCTGGAGAAAACATTGAACCCAAGGATAATGATGAAATGTTGGCCATGGTGGCCTATAAGGCAAAGCCACTGGCAAGTGAGCCTTGATCCTGTTTTCAGGATCAAGATTTGAGAATTATTTTGTTAATGCTATTTAGCTCAAAGGCATGCTTTTCTCAGTTCTGCTCTGCATATAGTTTCTTGAATCCACTCCTCCTTCCCTCACTTGCAGTGTTGCGCCTGCCCTCTGTGCTGTCAGTTCTTCCTTACTTAGGTTCACCCTGCACACCACCCCCTCTACCTGAACAGCCCCTCATCTGAATACATGGAATCAGGCAGACCTGTATGTATTCATGTTACGCTCCTCAACACATAATATATGTTAGCATCATGGTCATCAGGTCACCATCTGGTGAGAGCACTTAAAAGAGTGTGTGTGTATGCATATATATATATAAAGAGTCTGTGTGTATATATGTTATTTTAAAAGTATATATTGATCATATTATGTAACTGATTCCTCAGCATCTGCAGAAAAAAATCTCGAAGTCCCTTGTCAATTCACTACCTGATTCTCCCTCATCACTCATGAAGCCCCCATTCCACTGTACTGCAGCTCATACTACTCCATTTGCCCAGAAAGCCTTCTGCTTTTTGTTTACATCAGTACTGAACTGAAAGTACCTTGAAGGGAGGAATCATTTTATACCCATCTAACTTGATGTTTGAGAATAATAGGTGCTTAATTAAATTCTTGGATTGACTGATTGATGACTTCTCTTCAGCCTTGTGAGACACAGTTCAGAGTCCATCG